TAATAATAATTTATTTTTATTATTATTATTATTATTATTATTATTATTATTATTATTATTATTATTATTATTATTATTATTATTATTATTATTATTTCGACATTTCCTATTCTTGGTCTGGATGAAATAATACTAATACTACTACTACTACTACTAATAATATTAATTAATTAATTAATTAATTAATAATAATAATAATAATTATTATATTTTAGTACAATATGAGTTACACAGAACATATTTATGGTTTGGTGTTGAAGCTGGTTTATATGCATAGTAATCTCTAACTTCCAACTCAGTATTTAATTAAGATGGAAATCTTACAATAGATATAAAGCAGTGGGCAGACATGAAAGCAAAGCTTAAACAGGGTGACGAGTCAATCACAAAGTTTACTAGTGTGTTCTTTGGCAGCATGGACCCCCTACAAGGAGCTTTAGATTGCTTGATTGCTTGAGCCTGGAGATCAGGACCACAACTATATGCAATAACCGCCATATCCTGTTCTCACGATCTCTGGTCATGTCTAACCCCCAAATACACACATGGGTCTTTGACAAGGCACTCGGTTAAGCACTGAGCTTTTTTATGCCTTTACAACTACAGTTCTGGATGGCAATCCAAGGTCAATGGTGACTTTGCTGGACTTCTCGGATGCTTGGATTTCCTCTCTGCCTTCACTGCCCCCTGCACTGATCTCTTTTTTTCTAAACCATTACCAACTTTGCTTAAATCACTTTTTGGGTAATTATGTTTTTAATGGGAATTTACATTGAGTTAAAATTGTTCGTCCCCTTGAATGTCTCTCATTATTCAACTTAAATTAATATATTTTTTCAATGTTTATTTATTTATTTTTCAGACTCCACCAATTTGCATTATCTTACTTGCATTTGCTTTCAAAACACAAAATAGCAATTCTAAATATGACAATCTGTGTGAATATTGAATTGGATATTTGGTTGATTTAATAACATACATTAGTTTATTTGCACTATTTGATTCAATATGACATACATATTGATTCAGTCGTATGACTAAAGCCTGAATATAATAAAACTAAATTAAATTAAATAATAGATGATTTTTAAATATTAGTTTTGTTTCAAAATTTGACAAAGTTATTGAGAAGGTAACAGATTAAATATGCCCCATTAATCACTATTTATTAACAACCGATCGTCTTTCTGTTGCTCTAAATTGTTTTCTGGGAAAACACAAACTTATTTTGTTATTTAAAGGAATATTTCACCCAACAATGAACATCCTCTGCAGTGAATGGGTGCCGTCAGAATGAGAGTCTAAACAGCTG